AGAATGGTAATTTTTGCTGGAATTTCTTAGGATTAGTATCTGATGTCTTCTTAAAATCTTTAATTTTTTTTATTTAATAAATCCTGAAAAGCCTTACATGCATTCAAGTATCACATATTATTTTAAAATATTTTGAGTGATAGTCTAATATTTAAATGAAGTCTTTTGATTTATTAGTGAGAAAATAGTGTATCAATAAAAATCTAACTATCGAAAATCTCTTTGAAAAATCAAGAAGTAAAGTACTGCTCATCTTATCAAAATAATTATCTTAATTGATTATTGCAGTGTTTAGGCATATTATTTTATTGTATTTATGCACGAAACGTTCATTAGTTTTAAACATTATTACTATAAGTGATATTTGGCTTGACTTCGAGTTCGACTATCAAATCAATCTATATCTCTGATGACTCACAATTGACTAAAAAGTCTGAACTTTTTGGACTTGAAAGAATTTTGTAATAAATTATTAGTGTCAAGCCACAGAGATTTGATAACTTTAAAAATTTGAAAGAAAGCGCCATCTTCTGCTCAAACTTGCATGTGCAGCGTTGGCCGCGATGGTCAAAAGTTTGCTGCCAACCGCAACCTTCAGAGCGCTAATCATTGTCAGCGCCACCACCGGCCCAGTTGTGAACTATTGCTGTTGTAAACGTCATAATATGATGTGTATACATGCATGTGAATAATTGGTGATTCTAAGGTATATGCATGAATGCACTGTCAGGCACTATGCACATTGTCACAAATAACGTGAAGTGTCAAGTTCAGAGCCAAGATGATTAAACTAAACCACTGAGCGCTAACTGGCTCCTTGAATTAGTTTTTTTCTTCATAATACATTGACTAAAAAATTATTACTTCTCAGTTAATATCTAAGCTGATAAATTTGGTGACAGTAATGACAAGTTTTATTGCCAGGAAGTACATGCCAAACTACTAAGAGCTCTTACTCAGATCTCAAGAGTAATAGTATATGGGCCTAAGAAAATATTATAGCTAGCTGGTGCCAGACTAAGGTTGTATATTTAATAAGGAAAAAAACAGAACCACTGACATGTAACTGGGTGTCTTAAGAGGTGCTTTTTGCACATACATATGGACCATACAAAACACACCACTCAGTCAGTCACCAAGCTTGTACTGTAAGTCAAGTTGTTGTAGTTTAGTAGCAACGCAGCATAGTCCAGACCGTTAAGAGCTACCTGACTCTCATAAGTACTAGGGTATGTGGGCCTGAAAACTCATCAACTAGACATTGAGTAAGCTAGTATATTTGGTAGATATAATTACAAGGTCAGTGGCTTAAAAGCGTAAATAAAACCACTAAGAGCTCACTAGCTCTCAAGAGTAGTAATGTATAGGACTAAATACTGGCTCACTAGCTTTTGACTGAGCTGGTATATTTGATGAGTAGATAATTTTGAATGTATGGGCCAGGAAGCACAAACTAAACCATTGAGAGCTAACTGGCTCACAAAAATGTAGTGATGTATGTGCCAAAAAACTGGACAACTAGCTTTCGACTAAGCTGGCATTTTTCATGAGTAGATAGTTATAAATTTAGTGGCCAAGAATCACGAAAAAAACCACTAAGAGCTCACTAGCTCTCAAGAGTAGTGGTGTATGGAACTCAAAACTGACTGACTAGCTTTTGACCAAGCTGGCATATTTGATAAGTATAATTGTAAATTTATCAGCCAAGAAGCCCAAACTAAACCACTGAGAGATAACTGGCTCTCAAGAGTTTAGTGGTGTATGGGACTGCTAACTGGCTAACTAGTCTTTGACTTAGTTGAATTATTTGGTGGGTAAGTAATTTTTAATTTTTGGGCCAGGAAGCACAAACTGAACCACTGAGATCGATGTGACTCTCAAGAGTATAGTGGTTCATGGGCCTACAAACTGGCCAGCTAGCTTTTGACTAAGCTGGTATATTTGTTGAGTATAATCTAATATTTATCACCCACATATACTACTACTTATGCCCACACACACTACTACTTATGAGAGTCCAATAGCTTTCACCAGTCTGGGCTATACTGCGTGGCTACTCAACTACAACAACTTGACGTTTAGTACAAGCTTGGTCACTGACTGAGTGGTGTGTTTTGTGTGGTCCATATGTATGTGCAAAAAGCACTTCTTGAGATACCGAGTCACATAAAAGACCACCCAAACCACTAAGAGCTAAGTGGTTTTCAAGAGTATAGTGGTGTATGGGATTACAAACTGGCTAACTAGCCTTTGACTTAGTTAAATTATTTGGTGGGTAAGTAATTTTTAATTTTTTGGCCAGGAAGCACAAACTGAACCACTGAGATATAAATAGCTCTTAAGAGTAAAGTGGTTTATGAGACTACAAACTGGCTAACGAGCCTTTGACTAAGTTGGATTATTCGATGAGTTAGTAATTTTTAATTTTTGGGCCAGGAAGCATAAACTGAATAACTGAGATCGAAGTGACTCTCAAGAATATAGTGTTGTATGGGACTGCTAACCGGCTAACTAGCCTTTGACGTAGTTGAATTATTTGGTGGGTAAGTAATTTTTAATTTTTGGGCCAGGAAGCACAAACTGAACCACTGAGATCGATGTGACTCTCAAGAATTTTTACATGAAACTACTTTTATGAGGAAAAATATTAAATAATTTCAATAATTGTACATTACATTCACATAAAATTCCAGGTTATTTTTTACAGTGTATAAATATGCCGTATGTGTGCATTTAAAATTTGAAAACTTATAGAGTACTTGTAAATTAATTTTCTATTAAGATACGTGTACGTTGATCGTAAACAAATCTTTCTCTTAGTGTATAAATATCAATAAAAGGTTTTTTCCTCAAAAGTTATATTCCCTAAAAATTCAACTTTCAACAAAAACAATAGTTCAGGTACATCTGATGTCTTAAGTTAAAAATTTTTCAATAACTCCTGAAGTCTTTATACAGTTGCAATAAACTGTTTTTTTAAACAAATCATAAGAAAATTTGTGAAATTTAAGTCTAGAAGAGGTAAAGTATGCTTTTGTATTGGCGCAGCATACTTTTTATATAACACACGTAGTATTATATCGTTTAGTACTCGTACATTGACAGGATGAAATTGTGCTGTGTGTACTTTTGATTTGTACTACTTGCATTAAATACATTAATGCCAATTTTTATTATATGCATACAACAATGTTAGGGCATTTTTTCAATGTATTAAATAGAAGATTCACTTATACTTAGTTCCAATTTGAAATAAAAATTAGTGAGTTTGATTCCATTACCGTACGAGTACTCAAAATTGTAACACCACGAGTGGCAGACAAAAAGTATGCTGTGCCAAAATAAAATACAACTTGACTCTTTAAAGATTCTGATTTTACTTAATAATAATGCACTAATACAACTAAAACATTTTATTGCAACAATATAAAGACTTAAATAGTTATCAAGAAATGATGAATTAAACACTTCAAAATTCCCCGATCTTTTACTTTTATGTAAAATCAATATTATTCGTTTTTTTATTCCTTAAAATATCACAACTGATAGATGAATGCTTTCAAGTGCAATGAAAATCGCTAGTTTACTACTTAAATTATATGTAATAAGTTAAATATAATTATTTTGATGCACTGAAATTCTTCATAGATCTGACGCCACTTATGTGAATATTTACTACCCGAATAGTTTGAAAAAAATTAATATTTTTCGCTCATACAAGTTATTATGATCAACATTATAAATGTGACTGTTTTTTTGTCTGAATATTTTCAAACTTCTAACGTAATTCTTTATCAAATTTTTTTTTTCAGTCAACTGAAAACGTTGTTGCATGGCAGAGATTCTTACCTGGTGGACCTGTTGCTCTTTTACCAGTAAGTTGAAAACTCATTTTACGAAAAGTATGTTTTTATCTCTAGTTATGCATGTATTATGAAGTGAGCGCACTGATGTTTGCTACGATTAGAAGATTATGTTGCATCTGTCAACACTTATTTTTTTGGATAAAAATTTCAGTCCTGTGTTTCTTTAAAGTAGGTAAGTTCTTACGGCGTGACAATAGGATGCACTTACTAGTGCTGATTGCACATTTATTTGGTATCAAGTTGCGTGACATAGCCACATGCTACAGCGTTGGCCGCGATGGTCAAAAGTTTGCTGCCAACCGCAACCTTCAGAGCGCTAATCATTGTCAGCGCCACCACCGGCCCAGTTGTGAACTATTGCTGTTGTATACGTCATAATATGATGTGTATACATGCATGTGAATAATTGGTGATTCTAAGGTATATGCATGAATGCACTGTCAGGCACTATGCACATTGTCACAAATAACGTGAAGTGTCAAGTTCAGGGCCAAGATGATTAAACTAAACCACTGAGCGCTAACTGTCTCTTTGAATTAGTTTTTTTCTTCATAATACATGGACTAAAAAATTATTACTTCTCAGTTAATATCTGAGCTGATGAATTTGGTGACAGTAATGACAAGTTTCATTGCCAGGAAGTACATGCCAAACTACTAAGAGCTCTTACTCAGCTCTCAAGAGTAATAGTATATGGGCCTAAGAAAATATTATAGCTAGCTGGTGCCAGACTAAGGTTGTATATTTAATAAGGAAAAAAACAGAACCACTGACATGTAACTGGGTGTCTTAAGAGGTGCTTTTTGCACATACATATGGACCATACAAAACACACCACTCAGTCAGTCACCAAGCTTGTACTGTAAGTCAAGTTGTTGTAGTTTAGTAGCAACGCAGCATAGTCCAGACCGTTAAGAGCTACCTGACTCTCATAAGTACTAGGGTATGTGGGCCTGAAAACTCATCAACTAGACATTGAGTAAGCTAGTATATTTGGTAGATATAATTACAAGGTCAGTGGCTTAAAAGCGTAAATAAAACCACTAAGAGCTCACTAGCTCTCAAGAGTAGTAATGTATAGGACTAAATACTGGCTCACTAGCTTTTGACTGAGCTGGTATATTTGATGAGTAGATAATTTTGAATGTATAGGCCAGGAAGCACAAACTAAACCATTGAGAGCTAACTGGCTCACAAAAATGTAGTGATGTATGTGCCAAAAAACTGGAGAACTAGCTTTCGACTAAGCTGGCATTTTTCATGAGTAGATAGTTATAAATTTAGTGGCCAAGAATCACGAAAAAAACCACTAAGAGCTCACTAGCTCTCAAGAGTAGTGGTGTATGGAACTCAAAACTGACTGACTAGCTTTTGACCAAGCTGGCATATTTGATAAGTATAATTGTAAATTTATCAGCCAAGAAGCCCAAACTAAACCACTGAGAGATAACTGGCTCTCAAGAGTTTAGTGGTGTATGGGACTGCTAACTGGCTAACTAGTCTTTGACTTAGTTGAATTATTTGGGCCAGGAAGCACAAACTGAACCACTGAGATCGATGTGACTCTCAAGAGTATAGTGGTTCATGGGCCTACAAACTGGCCAGCTAGCTTTTGACTAAGCTGGTATATTTGTTGAGTATAATCTAATATTTATCACCCACATATACTACTACTTATGCCCACACACACTACTACTTATGAGAGTCCAATAGCTTTCACCAGTCTGGGCTATACTGCGTGGCTACTCAACTACAACAACTTGACGTTTAGTACAAGCTTGGTCACTGACTGAGTGGTGTGTTTTGTGTGGTCCATATGTATGTGCAAAAAGCACTTCTTGAGATACCGAGTCACATAAAAGACCACCCAAACCACTAAGAGCTAAGTGGTTTTCAAGAGTATAGTGGTGTATGGGATTACAAACTGGCTAACTAGCCTTTGACTTAGTTAAATTATTTGGTGGGTAAGTAATTTTTAATTTTTTGGCCAGGAAGCACAAACTGAACCACTGAGATATAAATAGCTCTTAAGAGTAAAGTGGTTTATGAGACTACAAACTGGCTAACGAGCCTTTGACTAAGTTGGATTATTCGATGAGTTAGTAATTTTTAATTTTTGGGCCAGGAAGCATAAACTGAATAACTGAGATCGAAGTGACTCTCAAGAATATAGTGTTGTATGGGACTGCTAACCGGCTAACTAGCCTTTGACGTAGTTGAATTATTTGGTGAGTGAGTAATCTTTAATTTTTGGCCAGGAAGCACAAACTAAACCACTGAGATCAAAGTGACTCAAGAGTATAGTGATTCATGGGCCTACAACATAGTGGTGTATGGGACTGCTAACCGGCTAACTAGCCTTTGACGTAGTTGAATTATTTGGTGAGTAAGTAATCTTTAATTTTTGGCCAGGAAGCACAAACTGAACCACTGAGCTCGAAGTAACACTCAAGAGTTGAGTGGGGTATGGAACTGGTAACTGGCTAACTAGCGTTTGACTCATTTGGTTTACTTGATGAGTTAATAATATTAAATTTATGGGCCAGAAAGCACAAAATAAACCACTGAGATCGAAGTGACTTTCAAGAGTATAGTGGTATTTGGGACTACAAACTGGCTAACTAGCCTTTGACTCAGTTGAATTATTTGGTGAGTAAGTAATTTTTAATTTTTGGGCCAGAAAGCACAAACTAAACCACTGAGAGCTAAGTAGATCTTATGAGTAAAGTGATTCATGGGCCTACAAACTGGCCAGCTAGCTTTTGATGAAGCTTTTATAATTAATGAGTAAGTAATCTTTAATTTTTGGGCCAGGAAGCACAAATTAATTAAACCACTGAGAGATAACTGGCTCTCAACAGTATAGTGGTGTGTGGGCCAAAAAACTGGCCAGATAGCTTTTGACTTAGCTGGCATTTTTGTAAGTAGATAATTTAAGTTTTGTTCTTTTAAACGCATTAAGGCAGGCAGTAATAATGCTTGCATATGTCGGCAGACCGCAAAATTAAACTATTCGGAGCTACCTGGCCTTTCTGTTTAATTCGTAGTTTCTTCAATGCATGGGTCTTTAGATTTGATTATAACAGCCAGTGACTATATTACATGGTATTAATATTTTTAATATCCGCATTAACGTACTCCGAAGATATTACGGTTTACTTTTTATGAAGGTCAATAAGAACTCTCTTTTTACTATTACTTCTGACCCACTTAACAGCTTTGGTTATTATAATATAAATAAACATACACAATTATACAGAAAGTTTCAATATCGTCATATATTTCGTTGTACTTTTTTTGTGAATACAGATAATTGATCCATGGATTTTTCTCATTACATTTAGACAGTATTAAAGTTTTTATTTTTTTTTTAATTATCATTCTGATCAGGTTCAAGAAAATATTTTTGAACTTTTAAATGTATTTTTTTGTGCAGTATAGTCAATAATACATCAAAGTAGTCTTTTTATTAGTTGAAATAATTTTAGATGCTTAAATTTTTTTTAAAATTTTTACTCTCTTTGCTCAACTACAAAAATGGTATTGAGATAGTTTAAACTGTTAATTTGTAATTTATTGAAAAAGCTATCGATGACATGTGGCTAGTTTGATTTTTTTACCAAAAAATAATTTTGGAAAGTAAAATTTTTTCATAATTTCTTAAGCCACTTTCGTGACTTTGTAATATGTTGACGTTTCTTTTTTGATTATGAATAACTGCACAGACACAATATTTATGTTTTAAGACTATTAATAATTTTGACGGGACAAATCTTTGTATGTATTTTAACGTATTAAAAATGATATTAATTAAAAAATTTGTAGGTAGATAAGTAATATTGATATATTATTTGCTAAAAAAATGATTGTTATTAAACAAAATATAATTTTCAATGCAATATAAATTGACGATTTCTCTCTGCGTTGACAGGGTTGAGACTGTCATTTAGTTTACAAAATTTATTTTATTAACTCTAAACGTTGAACGAGACGTATTTTATTAATTAGTAAACTAAATGCCCGCATTACAAAATTTTGATTATATTGCATTTGTCGCTTGGGATAAATAAGATGTGTAGTTTCTGCCAGCCTCTAAGATACATCCTATAGTTCAAATAATAGTATTCTTTTTATATTCCGATTGAACTATTTCCATAATTTATCTTAGCGCTCATCAAAAGCAGTGTATCTTATTTTTCCCATACAAAAATTATTCTTTTTTTGTTTACCTCATTATCAGTAGAAATCATTTTATTAAATCTGCAATACTTAAATATTTAACCACGTTTGTCATTGCGAATTATTCAGCCATATTAATTTATGTTGTGGCGAGTTACTAAGCCATATAGGTATATTGCGGCGAATTGCTCAGCCATATACGTTGCGGCGAATCACTCAGCCATATATATTGCGGCGAATTGCTCAGCCATATAATTAACGGCGAATTACTCAGCCATACAATTTGCAGCCAATTTTTGAGTAACATGCAGAGTAGCACATTACTCGGTATTAATATTTCTGAAATGTTTGTAGCTCAGTAGTCGATGTTTTATATGCAAGTATATCTACTTTTACTTTTTACTACTATTTTTTATTCGCATAAAGCACAAACCAAAGAATGTAATGCAATATTATTTCTTTCAATACATTGTCTATGTGAAAATCTGTTGCAAGTACTACATTGGAATTCTGTGCATTCAGGATCTGTAAAATCAGTGCGTCTTGAGAAACAAAATTAACAAGTGAACTTCATGCATTCTGAATTTACGAGCAGTACTTTAGCTATTCTCATCCTGAATTGATGAGGATCAAAATTTATATGAAATTTTTCTTTTTTTGCCTCACACTCCATATAGTCCATTATCAAAACACCACAGTTATACTTATATTTTTGTGTGAATCTGCCTCTTCTGTCAACTTTTCTTATTCAGTTAGTAATTGAGTTCATATTATTTTTGCAATGATTTCTAGAAATTTTAAGATATTTTTCAAAATTATCTGCACACATT